ACCACACAACCAAATAGGAAACTTAGTTGAAGAGCACGCCGCAGAATAGATTAAGCCAACCATCTGCTAATAAGAATATGAGAATATCGTGGCGGTTCTTCCACCCGGAGGCACTCCGATAATCAAGTCAATTAACTTATCTCTCAAAGATATCAAACAAGTACTGAATCCACTGAAAAATAAAGCGTACCTTAGACCCACAATGGTGTCTTACTTTTATAGCTAGCAGTGTCCTAGTCCTCTAGAAGTCTCACTTCATAGGACTCAAGCACAATGCTCATCTCGAACTCTGAGTTACATAGGAATAAACTCCTCGAACTTTATCCTTATTCGGACTAAGAGTCTCCTCTTATCTAGGACTCTTGTACCTTACTCAAGTATCTCAGATTCCGGCATTACCGCATCGAATATCGGCAACGTCACAATCATCTCGGCAAACATGACCCGCCCACATGGCACCTCAGCCGACATCTCAGAGGCACCATGGTCACGTAGCGTCATTCTCAAAATACTTCCCCACATATATAATACAAATTAATTTTACAAAATATTTTTCATATATATAACTACTAATTTGTAACAAAATTCCAATTTTAAATTTCTCTCATTTTTATTTTGATATTTCATTATAGATTTAAAATATATATAAATATATTAACTATAGCGAAATAAAACAATTTCAAAAACGAATTATAAATTCAAAATTTAATCTGTGATTAGCGGATTAAACAGTGCAAATCAATGTAATTTTAACGGATTAGACAATATTTTACACAATTCTACCCAAGACTAGGACTGGCAAATGGCTCCCCAGTCTTTTGAAATTAAAACAAAAAAAAAAAACAAAAACAAAAACAAAAACAAAAACAAAACAAAACAAAAATGAAATATCCCTTTAAATAGGAGACATAAACCCAAAACCAGGCTAAGTCACGCCTTCTCCCACATGTCTACTTGCACCATCAATCTTTGATTTTAATAGTAATGACACGATAGTGAAAAAAATGCTACAATCATTCCACACATTAATCTCCATTATCCATTCCCACTGAGGAATTACAAAATTAACACTGCATATATTAATAGGGAATCTGTTAAGCATAGTATAATACCAGTTCATGAATTTCTAAGTTCTTTCAAGTCAAACACCAAGATAAGTCCATGTTTGCCAAAGTTTTTAACACAAGGCACTGTCATTAAACATGCAAGGAGGTCCTTTTCATGTACAAAAATTGCTCGTGTTGTGAGGGGAGCCCAGCAGACACTGTCCTCCCCTGTAAAGCTTGGTTTGAACCGAAAAATGCATATGTATGGTGTTTTTTTCCTCCTTTACATCAACTGAACTGATGATCACTTTGATGTCTGAAAGCTTGGTTTGGTTGCCTTCCACTTTTGAGCACTCTCAGAAAGAGACTATCAGATCAGTTAAAAATCACCCACTTGAAATAACAACCTTCCATCGAGGACAAATCGATCCATGCCTAACTTGGGCAAAGTAGCATCTTCTTCTGGAAGTTGTGTAGTGGAACAAATTCGTGTTATTAGGAACAATCTTTCAATGGTCATCTTCATTTGTTCCCAAGCAGTTGGATAAGAGTGCTTCCATTGATTCATACTGAGAAATGGAAGAGAAACTATCATCATTACAAGAAATATGGCAACCTTTGCAAAGATGATTTTGTGGTAGAGAGCATTATTGTCACTACTTACTTGACATCCACAGAAGAGGCAGTATCGATATTCCTCTCTCAGCTTTATCAATATATCTTGCAAATCCTGCTTTAGTATATGATTTGATCAACATCCACCAGAAATGTACAGGGAATGAGCTTAAGAATCAAAAGCAAACAATGACGAGAAAGATAAAGACACAGTGCACTGCTGTCATACTGTTAGCGCATAAATTCCTACTTTTGCTCGCCTCAATCAGTTTGTAATTCACTTAACTTGGTAGCATAAGTAGGTCTGTCTTGGTTTGCATACAGATTAAGCCAGCTTTCACCCAGTTCAATATGCAGACTGGTGCATATAATGAATAGACAGCTAAAAAAAAGAAAAGAGTTACAAAAATGAAAATTACATGGAAAGGGAGGGGAGGATATCGCCCAATATCGCCCAAATTATTAAGTCCATTAAAGGGGTAACCCAGTGCACGAAGCCCCCACTAAAGTAGGATTTGGGGAGGACAAGGGCCTTGTTTGGTTTGTGTTTCTCAAAAAATTTTGGGAAAAATTCTCTACAAATAAGTTTTCAAAAGTAATCAAACCAAACAAATTTTTCCAAAATTTTTTTCCAAAACTTGTTTGGTTTACAAGTTTTCCAAACAAATCTCTCTCTTATACACATCAAATCATTCACTTTTTCCAAAACTCTCTCTCAAAATAATTTTTCAAAACATCTTTTGAAAAAAAACCAAACCAAACAAATTTTCGTACTTTTTATCTCAAAACATGTTTCTCAAATACAAACCAAACAAGCCCAAGGTGTATGCAGTCTTACCCCTATTTCTAGAGGGAGTGTTGCCGGGACTCGAACTTGCACCACAGGGCCGCTAACGGCAAGCCTTACCATTGGGCGCCAACCCGCCCTTTAGTTTGCTATTAAGAAAACGGTGCAACTTGAAGATGCCAGCTAGCTCATCAAGTCCTACTTTCAATTTGGTTGAAATTTGAAGGGTCTTCATAGCAAGGGGAGGCTAACATTGATCATTTAGAGCCACAATCATTGGACCAAGGGAAAGAAAGGAGAAAAGAGAACCCAAAAAAAAAAAAAAGACAGCCATCACAAAATATCCTTTTGTCTGCCTAAGAAAACATGAGACATTTGCAGAACAAAACCATATCTTTATAACGGTCTTATTGCAGAATAGGAATTAAAGTCAAGAATTATACCTCCAATTCCAATTGCATCGTATTTAAAATTGGGGTGCGATGCGATGCTATTAATTGGATGACACAAAAATTGGAATAAACAGTTGGGAAAAAAAAAATCTTGGTTCGTCGAGGGATATACACTTTAACCCAAAAATAAAATAAAATATGTAAGAACCCTACTAGTTCAGAAACCGAACATGAGGAGGCAATATTTGTGTTTTTGTAGAGAAAAGGGGAACCTGTAGGAGGAGGGCCACTTTAGAATCACACTTGAATATCCTCATAAACTAAACTGGAGGTTTTGTAAAAGAATCAAGCGTGGGTACTTGATCAAATTGATAGAACTAGGTTCTAGATTAAATATATGGACAAAGCATTAAGTGCCAGGTCAAACCCTAAATCTGTTAGCAATAACTTTCATAAAGCTCTCATGCATTCATTCATTGAAGTGATATTCTGCTTTGCTTTGTACCCAAGCACAAAAATAAAATAAAGACAAATTAAGAGAGAGAGAGAGCCCTAGGAGAGGAAGTGTTGTTGAGAACCTAGATTGCCTTGTGTGTTGAGGGCATGGAGAGAAGCAATGCAATACCAATGAAAACTGCAATTCCTGACCTTCACCCGAAATTGAAGGTTGCTTGTTGTAGCCTACCTAATTCTAGACTTCTAGTTCCATGGAGTTCCTGCACAATGAAAAGCAAAGAAGTACAAACACTTCTAAGATCGTGGTGTGTCCGTGTCAAACACCGCCACTGGTAGGACACATGTCCAAACACATCCTATCATTTTTAAATTTTTTTACACCCAAACAAACTTTGGATACTTAGGGAAGACGTGTTCATCACTTAGACACACATGAAACATATTACAAATTTAAACAAAATAACTTTAGCTCAAAGTTTATCGACCTTGAGCAAGCATATGACAGAGTGCCCCGAGATATAATATGGTGGGCGTTAGAGAAGAAAGGGGTGACAAAAGGCTACATTGACGTGATTAGGGACATGTATGAAGGGGTGGTGACCACTATTAGATCGCCAGCTGGAGAAACAAATGAATTTCCTATCACTGTAGGGTTACACCAAGGATCTACCTTAAGTCCTTATCTTTTTGCTTTAGTTATGGACGAGTTGACGATAAATATTCAAGATGACGTGCCATGGTGTATGCTTTTTGCAGACGATATTGTGTTAGTGGATGAGACTAGAGAAGGAGTTAACACTAGGTTGGAGATTTGGAGAAAAGCACTTGAATTTAAAGGATTTAGGATAAGCAAAACTAAGACATAGTATATGGAGTGTAATTTTGGTAACAGTCATAATGAAAGCAGAGGAGAAGTGAAGATATTATGCTAATTAAGCTAGTTATTGGAGGGAATTTAGTGAATATTATTAGCGCTTACGCCCCTCAAGTAGGGTTAGATGATCAGACTAAGAGGGATTTTTGGGAGCAAATGGATGAGATCTTACAGGAGATACCCGTAGGAGAGAACCTGGTTATAGGTGGAGATTTTAATGGCCATGTGGGCATAAATAAAGTAGGCTATGAAAGGGAGTATTCAAACCATTGGAACTCATTCAAAGAATCTGATACGTGCACTGCGGGAAACTGAGCCTATGGCTTGTTGAATGTTACCATTGTGTATAGTCCTAACCATGCATGCTATTGCCTTCTGTTTGAAACATGCGTTGTAATAATATTTTAGTCCTAGTTTCTTGTAATTTCTGTTACCATAGGCACATATACATGATAAACGAATACCCACTAGACTAAAAGGTAAGTTTTATAGAATGGCTATTAGACCAGCTATGTTGTATGGGACGGAGTGTTGGGCAACTAAGAAACAACATGTAGATAAGATGAGTGTGGCTGAGATGAGGATGCTAAGGTGGATGTGTGGTAAGACTAGACAGGACAGGATTAGGAATGAGTGTATTCGGGAATGGGTAGGAGTAGCACCGATAGAAGATAAGTTGAGAGAGAATCGTTTGAGATGGTTTGGTCATATTCAACGGAGACCAACAGAGGCAGTAGTGAAGAGATGCGATGCTGTAACGATAGATGGTAGTGTTAGGGGACGGGGTAGGCCTAGATTAACATTGACTAGCGTTATAAATAGATATATGAATCTACTTAATTTGACTAATGAAATGGCCTTTGACAGGGCCGCGTGGAGAAGAAGGATTCATTTAGCCGACCCCATTTGATGGGACTTAAGGCTTGGTTTGGTTTGGTTTGGTTTGGTAACTTTAGCTCAAATGATAAAAATACTATGTAAAATTATATCTATTAATCCCCTTCCTTTAAATTTTAAACTTTAAAACTAGTGTTGTGTTTGTATTTTTCATTATCTTTAAATGAAATATTCATATATATATGACATATAATAAAGGAAAAAATTAATCGATGTTAACCCATTGTGATTTGGCCTCAGGGCCTGTTTGATTGGTTGGAGTAATAGTGATAGGATTAATAATCCATGGGATTAACCATTGGATTGACTGTCCAACTCAATTAGTAGAATAAATATGTGTGGGATTATGAATGCCTACCTCCGTATGGTATTGAATATCTCAGGATTTTGTGGGATTAGAAGTCCTACGTATTACTAAGCCTACCATCATTTATGTCATAACTACCAAAGCGCATTGGAGATTGGAACTTGATTACCAATTCATGTTCAATATGCACAATTTAAATCAAAACATATTTATTTTGACTATATGTATAGGAGCAGCAAAATTAGCTAAAGTACACACAAATAAAACACAATCATGTATATATGTGAGAATCAAATATGGTCGTACCTCTTCGGTTATTATCTCCTCTTCCTCCTCTTCATTTTCGGCATCCTCTTCATCCTTGTCAGCCTCTGCCACCACCTCCTTATTCTCCAACTGCTCCAATGCCGCCTTCGCCTTGTGATAATTCACCACAATCCTCCGGCTCCGCCATTGCTCTTTGTGGCGGCACCCAAAATCCTCCATCAACGCCTCCTCCTTCCCCCTCTCCCATTCCATCCTCTCCTCTTCCCTCTTCCTCTTCTCCTTTCTCGAGTCCTCCCGACCAATCCCAGCTCGAGTCCGCCGAATCTCAAGCCCCACGGGCTCCGCAAGACCAGAACCCTCCTTCCCCAGCGTGGACCCTGGTGTGTAACCCATCTGTTTCAACAACTTGAAACCAATGTTGGATTGGGGAATCGCTGATTCTAAGCTTGCTAGGGTATTTCGGTCCTCTTCTTCTTGCCTATTTTCTCTCTTGAGTTTTCGTTGTTCTTGCCAGTTTAGGGTTTTGGGTTTCTTGCCTGAAGGTTGAGAAATTTGGGTATTGTTGGCACAGACCTGAACGTAATTATTGTTATTGTTGTTCAGAACGTATGTATCTATATCTATTGTGAAGATATATCTATATCTATATACATATACATATGAAACTTGGAACTAACCTTTACCGAAGATTTTGAGGGGGCAGTGGTTTTGTTTGTTGTTTCTGCCATTGGTGAGAGAGCTTGGGAGAGAGACTCTAGTCTGCTCTTGCTTTCCTCCTCCTCGCCTCCCCCTTTTATTTTTATTTTTTATTTTTTAAGGTTTAATTCACTATCAATCTACACAAAAATAAAATAAAAAAATAATTTCACTTTTTTTTTGTCCTTTAACTTTTATTATTATTATTATTATTATTAATTTCACTTTTATCTCTTATACTATTCTCATTTTTTTTTTATTTTACTCCTAAACTTTCAATTTTATTAAATCCTTAAAGTTTTTAGGATAAATTACAGTGACCCCTTGAGGTTTTTATTTAATATAGATTCTCCCTTACATTTGAAAAATTACACTCACTCTCTTATTAGATTAAAATGACATATTTATCCATTAACATTTATACACATAAAATAATAAAATAATATAGATATTGTATTCATGTCATTTCAAAAGAAATAATAATCATATTCTTTAATTTAACTCACACAAAAAATTAAGTTTTTCTTATTTTTTTATTTTTATTGATTTTTTTAATATTTTAAGTAATTATTTATTTTTTAAATACACCTAATCTAGATATAATTAAGAAGTATAATATTTTATAAATTTTTTTTTTTAAATTCACCAAATACAAAAAATATAAAAATACAAAATTTCAATAGAAATTACAAATTTTAGGGAGGAGAATGTAATTAATCTCATTTATACTTCTTAAGTATATCATATTCCATTACAAATTACAAATTTTAGGGCGGAGAATGTAATTAATCTCATTACAAATTACTCCCTAGATTGCTGATTTCATGCTCTAAATTTTTCTAATGACCATTTTACCATTTTTCGTATCATTTCTTTTACCTATCATCATGACTACATTCTACAAGTTTCCATCATTAAATTTTATTTAAACATATTCTTATTGAGTGATAATATACAAATATAAATTTTATATAAAATTTTCAAACACAATAATATAATTTAATAGTGACCTTTCACTTTAGAACAAAACAACCATAAACATGATTTATATTTACAACAATATCACTATCACTACATTTTTATGATTTTTTTTGTATAAATTTTTATATAGATCAACACCCACAATTTGGCGTCGTCTATGGGAACTTAGTATAGAATAGATAGCCAACAACGAACAGGAAGTAAGGATCGGAGATTGACATTTACAGTGAGGAAGAGGAACACATGGGTCCTAATATTGGGAACAATAATGATAAAGTACAAGAGGTCGACCTCGAGACAAACAATGTTGCCAGGGGCTGAAATGGGAATAAGAAGGGTAGTCAAGATGAGTACTATCATGAAGGCGAACTCCAGGTATGGAAGGATAGGTGCCTGAGAAGAGATGAGGAATTGAAGGACATGGCGAACAAATTGACAAACTTGCAAACAGTGGTCAACTTTATGATGCAGAACAACGTGATGCTACCAGCTTTTTCCCTATAAGACACACCTATTTTTGTCAAATTGTATGATTCCAAGGTGATTCTAAGGTTCCAAAACCTAAAAGGCAATTTTAAAATACAAATGTGTGATGTGCTCGAAAAGCCAAATAAGAAGCATTAAAAAGAAAGACCTGTAAAATGCAATCAATAAAACAAGATAGACAGAAAGAACATTTTAAGAACAACCAAATGCATCTGAAACTCTTAAAGTAGGATAAATTGAGGTCTGGTAAAGACAAATGACAGTGAAAATTTTGAGAGATGATAAAATAGTATCCAACAAAATGCTACTAATAGGAAAAAAATGATTTCCTCCATTGCCACATAATGGAAATTTCCATGGGATATGGTGTAATGCGTGAATAAAAATATTATATTGCCTTTAGATTGCTTACCTTCAAAACAATGGAAGAAAAAAACACAAAAGTTACATGAATTCAAACTTCTTAACCAAAAAGTTCAAAATTAGAACTTTGCACTTTCAATATGAAGCAGACAAATAAGATGAAATTAAATCACACATCTATTTGCAAATATACCATAGATCATGATGCATACAAAGAACTCAACCAATACATCAGCCACAGAGCAACAAGCTAAAAATTCTAAACAGAAGGCATACCAGCTACAGTTTTACCGAGTAGTTTTCAATACTACAATGGCAAATAATGCTTTTTCGTAAAGTATCCAAAAGAAAACTACAACTATTCAATAAGACATAAATTAAAATAAATGAAATCTACTTTCTTTAGACAAGACTAACAACATAGAATGTCAGAGACATACTCATCACATATCACAAAAGATTAGATTCAACATTAGTCACGGTTATGGGCTCATGTTGACCCAAACCAAGCCTACATTAAACAAAACATACGTTCCATGAAGATCTTAATAACACCATGGCACATATTATACAAAGTGTTGCCCAATGTGGCTTAATTCTCAAAAACAAATTCAATGAAGTCCTACATCATAATTCAACAGATTGGCAAAGTAACTTCATTTTAATATATTAAACAGCAACATGAAACAAAGCCATGTTGCTAGCCAACTAAGAGCAGCTTCTTTCATGTGTCAAAATATGCCTAACCAGAAAATTACTAGTATTGATAATTTCGTCATGAGAAATCAAACATGAAATACAGTACACATACTTTCAACAAATCAAACCAAAAAGAACTTACCAGTATTTGGTGTCACCCAGGCACACCTTTTCTTGGGTTGCAAGCTGCCAGGTTGAGCCTCTGAAATGGCATCAGATACACTAATTTTTGACTTCATGGCCAATTGCTTCCTACGGACGGGCATACTATTTCTCCTATATATCCTACCAGTTGATGCACGACTATGAAACGAATCCGAAAATGCATCAGACAAACACGAAGCATTGAGTGATAAATTAGAATACAGTAAATGCTCTTGCCTACTAGGTGCCGACGGAATACTAACTGAATGTGATGGAAGACCATTACTCTCTTCTGCCAATGCCGCAACCTCCTCCAGCGAATTCTCTTCATTTCTCAGTGTCTTCATCATGAGTTTTCGTGCACTCCCCAATCTCTGTACCTTGTTACCCGCAGGTCCAAAGATCGGTCTGGCCTCCGAATCAGCCATGTTCGATGATCTTACTCTCGGAGCTCCTAACATCTAAAGAAACCCTTTCAGTTCTACACAAATCTCTGTCAAAGTTCCCCAAATCTTCCACATCCACTAGACTTCAGGTTTAATTCATTCAAATGTTCAATAAACATAACGAAACCCTAACAATAATTCAAAACCCATCTTTTTCTTAGAGCTACCAATATAGATTTTGAGCTTTTTGGATCTCAAATTACCAAATTAAACATCCACCAACCCAGAAGCACACACAAAAGAACCCAAAACTCACCACCATTCATCTACCTCAATCACAGAGCTCCCCAACAAAAGATTTCAACCCTCAAAATCAGCACATATTACACTTTTCACTTTTTCTAGAACTTAGTGAAACCCTCAAAATCACATCAAACTGCCATTTCCAGAGAATTTAAACTTCAAATTCCCTCTCAAAACCCCAGAAAAAAAATATATATATATATATTATATATTGAAATCTGTCAAATGAAACCCACTTTGTGACCAAAGCTAGGCTTCCAAAACCCTAATATATATACATATCTTTGTTTATACATAGCTCATTTGTATATAGACAGCTGTAATAAATTATCAAGTCAAGTAACAGTTTTTTATGGTATTAGAAACCTGTTTCAATTAATAATTTATCAAGTCAATTCACACCATATCTTGACCAGTTTGTAGTAGTGTTCATTGATGACATCCTGGTATATTCAAGGTCTGAAGAAGAGCATAAGCAACATTTAAGGATTGTCCTTCAAGTTCTTAGAGACAATCGGTTATATGCCAAGGCAAGCAAATATGAGTTCTGGTTGAATGAAGTGAATTTCTTAGGGCATGTAGTGTCTGAGAATGGGATTGCGGTGGATCCAACCAAGGTGGAAGTAGTCTTAGATTGGAGACAACCGAAAACCGTGTTAGAAATCCACAGTTTCTTAGGATTGACTGGTTACTACCGAAGGTTCATCCAAGATTTCTCCAAACTAGCTAGACCAATGACTCATTTGACACAAAAAGGAGTAAAGTATGAGTGGGACAAAGATTGCGAAAAATCCTTCCAAGAGCTAAAGAAGAGATTAACTAGTGCGCCAATTTTGACCATCTGGAACAAGAAGTGGGGTACACTGTGTATTGTGATGTGTCTAAGGAAGGGTTAGGTTGCGTGCTAATGCAAAATGGAAATGTAGTCGCGTATAGATCCAGGCAGTTAAAACCACATGAGCATAACTACCCAACACATGACTTGGAATTAGCGGCCGTAGTTTTTGCCCTAAAGCAATGACAACATTACCTATATGGGGAACAATTTGAGATTTTTATAGATCACAAGAGTTTGAAGTATCTATTTACACAAAAGGACCTTAACTTAAGACCGAGACGATGGATGAAGTATCTTGAGGATTTCTAGTCCACTCTCTCATATCACCCCGGTAAAGCCAATGTAGTAGCAGACGCTCTAAGTCACAAAAGCAGAGGATTGATAGCTAAAATTTTCGTTAAGGAATGGGATATGGTTAAGACACTCAATGAATTTAGAATCCAAGTAGAATCTCAAGATACAAAGGCTTACTTTGGAACCCAAAAAGTGATGCCGAAGTTAATAAGTGAAGTTATGGAGGCCTAGAGGCACGACCAAGAAGTAATCTACATTAAGGGACGCCTGGAATCAAGAGAATCTATGTCAACTTGGGGGATTCACTCCGACGGGAGCGTGAGGTATCAAGGTAGATTATTTGTGCCAAATGACGAGTTACTGAGGGAGAAAATACTTTAGGAATGTCATCACTCTGTATTTGCGGTACATCCGGGGGGAAACAAGATGTATCAAGATCTAAAAAGGCAGCATTAGTGGAGCAAAATGAAAAGAGACGTGGCAAGATTTGTAGCAAGATGTCTAACGTGCCAACAAGTGAAGGCAGAGCATCAGAAACCAGGAGGTATGTTGCAACCTCTGCCTATTGCTAAATGGAAATAGAAGTACGTGACAATGGACTTCGTGACTGGATTGCCCAAGACACCAAAGGGGCGTGATGCTATACAGGTAATAGTGGACCGCCTTACCAAGTCAGCACATTTCTTACCATACAAGGTAACTGACACCTTAGAATTTCTGAGTAAACTCTACATTGGAGAAATTATTCGATTACATGGAATTCCGGTATCCATCGTATCCGATCATGATCCACGGTTCACCTCTCGTTTTTGGGGAAGTCTGCAGAAAGCCCTAGGTACTGAGTTATGTTTTAGTACCGCCTTTCATCCACAGACAGATGGGCAGTCAGAATGCGCCATCCAAACACTCGAAGATATGTTGCAAGCCTGTGTAATGGATTTTCAAAGAAGTTGGGAACGGCACCTACCCCTAATTGAATTCTCCTACAACAACAGTTTTCAGGATAGCATCGGTATGGCGCCTTTTGAAGCATTATATGAACGACCTTATGGATCGCTGATTTGTTAGACTGAAGTGGGTGAAGCAAATCTAATAGGACCCGAACTTGTTCTAGAAACTACTGAGAAAGTCAAACTTATCGAACAACGGTTAAAATTGCTCAAGACTGTCAAAAGAATTATGTAGATAGGAGGAGGAGGCCACTGATGTTTGAAGTAGGCAACCACGTGTTTCTAAAGGTACGACCTAGGTGTGGGATCGCACGATTTGGAACAAAGGGGAAGCTATTACCACGATATATTGGGCCTTTTGAGATATTAGAAAGGGCGGGCGAATTGGCATACAGACTAGCCCTACCCCCGCAGTTAGCAGGGATACACAACGTCTTCCATGTATTTATGTTGAGGAAATATATCGCCGACCCGTCACATGTCCTTAATTGGGAAGAAATCAGTCTCGACGAAGATGTTACCTTTGAAGAAGGACCGGTAACGATACAAGATAGTTGGGAGAAGAACCTTAGAGGCAAGACGGTTCACTTAGTAAAAGTGCTTTAGCGTGATCAGGGAATTGAGGAATCTACTTGGGAACGCCAGGATTGGGTGAAGGCAAACTACCCCGAACTTTTTGAAGGCAGTATATAGTTGAATTTCGGGGACGAAATTGTTTTAAGGGGGATAGGTTGTGAAGCCCCTGAAAAATGTATTTTCTTTAAAAACCCTTACGTTTGAATTATTTCCTTAAAGCCCCTTAGTTTCTTAAAATTATTTCGAATTTGCCGGTTAGTATTTTTTTTTTTATCGGAACAGGAATATCCTAGCCGAATTAGGTTCCTTAGCCTAATTCAATTTAATTCTACATGAATAAGGTTCCAATACATGAGTTTAATTCCAAGCCCTCACTTCTTTTATTAATTTCAAGATTTGCCCCAGACTAGTACATGTAATTTTTATACTATAGTACCACCAAATCAATTTGTGGATCTATATATATACTGGTAATATCTCCATAGTACACATATTTTGAATAGAATATTCTCCATTTCCCTTCCCCATGGCCGGCCAACCTAGGGGAGTGTGAGAAATCAATTTTCAAGGCTTGTAATCATGGCATTCTAAAAGCAAAAGTACCAAATACCCCTAAATCAAGGGATTGTGTTCCCAACCTAGTTCCATTCCAACTAGAGGCTAACTAAATCTTGTCTAAATCACATAATTAAGCCCCCTAATCCTTTCCTATTCCTTTAGACTCCAAGTAAATCCAAACTTCTCAATCCAATTCCAACTAGTGGGCCTTTGTGTCTTTTCACACTAAATTTGCCTATATATACAACCACCCTCTTAGCATAGCATACACAAGCAACACACACACACCTACATTCGGCCTAGAGGATGGAAAGGAGAGCAAGCGAAAAGTTTTGAGAGAAAGAGGAAGAAAGAGGAGAGCAATCTTGTTCAACTTGGCCTAGCCTAGCAAGTAAGCCACAACACAACCCTCTCTTTTATTATCCTTTTTCAAATACATGCTCTTAAGGGATCTAAACATTGTTTTCAGATGTGTTTTAGTGATCTTCTTGTGCTAAAAATGAAAAAAGTTGAACCATGATTTTACTCTTCTTGTAGTTTCCCTTAATCGGTACAAAACTATCTTTTTCATACCAATCTCTCAAACTTTCCAAGGGCACATCTTCAAGATAGATTTCTGAGTTTAATATATATTATTTAGCATATTTTCATCACACAAAAGAAATGAAAAATGTCCCTTAGTGGATCTCTTTTCTCACAAATCTTCTTGTTTTGAGTATTGTGCATTAAAAATCTATTTTTATAGCCAACTTTCAAAAAATCTAGAAAAATATATAAAAATCTTCTGGACCTTATTTTTATGCCAAAAATCTTCCTTAAGAAGTTAGTTTTCAAGGAAAATTGGTTTCATTGAAAAAGAGTGAGCAGTTTGTAAGGAAATCCGATTTTCGTAACGGTCGACGAGTCTGAACAGCACTGGAGTGTTTCTTAAATAACTAAAAATCTATAAAAGCTATCCCATTTCCGAAATATGTTCTGGAAACTAGATTAAATTATCTTCGAACCATAGGAAGGCCGAGTTCGAGAAAAGTCTGAAACAATCTTTTCGATTTTAATCTTTAACAGGTACTAAATCTGAAATTTCTATTTGGCATTGGTATTTCATGCTATTGTGTTCATGAATACGCTTGTTAATATATATGAATGTGTCTGAATATGATATCACACATGCCATGGTTGTATATCTTATATTTTAGCCCTTCAATGATGCTTACACTTATGCAAGTTTATTCTTGTTACTTGCTTGTACTAACCAACTTAAAACATTAATCTAAACGGAAACTTAATGGGATGGCTAATGGGGTTTCGATCACATGAGTATTATTATGAGATAAAGTTATGTTCAAACTGAATTGGTTAGCAGGATGTGTTCCCTTTTGAAAGCTAAAGTCTTGCGCAAGCGGTTGTTTCAGAACCCTTGAACGGAGCGGTTGTATTCAGACCATAGGTAGTTTTGGTGTGAGGAGGGAATGGGCAAGACCCTTATTTTACCATCTCTTTTGAGGTCCTCGGTTAGCGCTACG